ATGTGACTGCATATATACAATTTGATTAAAGTTTTTATTTCGATTGTTATCTACAATAAAAAATGAAATTGATATTCATTTTATAAGAGTTATGGATTGATAATTAATTGTAAATAATTTATTTCTTTATCTATTTACTCATGGACTGTAGTTACATATTTGAACAATTTATTTTATTTAGTTTGCGACACTTTATAAATAACATACTTTTTGCCAGTTTGTTGATATTAAATCATAGCCCCATTTTTGCTAAAAAATCGCAGTCATAAAAACAGGGAAATAAAAAGTTTCAAACACCAAAATAGAAAACTGCGAAGGAAATGTGTTCAAAGAGGGTTTACTTATTTAGGTATTATTCATAGTAAGCACTTGATCACATTATTATACAATAATGCAGTTTATCATTACCCTCAAATCAGGTTAAGCTATTTTTTATCCGGAGATTTTATGTATAATTTAAGGGGAACTTGAATGCTTCAAAGATGCATTCGCATCTAATAGAAAATTGTCGTGCAACGGGGCGAAAAGAAGTAGATGGGCCATTTGAGGCGGCTGCCTGAATTGCGCTACGAATCACTCTGGCGTGCTATCAATTACTGTTGCAAGTGTTGCACGTGCCACAAGTATCTCTCCGCCTCCCCATCTAGGAACTACAGATTGTTCATCTTATTGTGATGCTACTTGGCGTTTGGCTGGGCTCTCTTTTAATTTCTTGTCGCGCTTGCCTTCTTGTCGACATCTTATTTATTTTTTAATTTTTATTTTCGTCGTGCATTTTCTTGACAATTTCTTTTTGCTGCTGCTGCCGCCATCGTTTTTTTTGTGCTTCCAATTGTTGCACAATTTTTTAATTTGTTGCTTGACGGTAGCAGATAGAAAGCAAGAGTTGCTGGTCTTGTGGATGTTGAATTTGTTAATCTGAAATGGGTTGAAGCTGCTGGAGTGGTTTGTGACCGAGCATGAATATTGCTTAATTTTATATGGCTATGGCTGCAACTGCTTTCTGCCAATTAAACTAAAATTACACTCGAATTTTGCGTAATTCACAATTCAGATTTATGTATTCAATTAGCCACAAATAACCACACAATTTATGCAAATTAACCCACACACACGAAAGCACATAAAAGATAAATAATGTTATAATAATTCAAGTAGCCACAAAGCAAAATAAACTTAAATTTCAACATTACCTACACATACACAAACACAAATGTGAATATGTGTATGCATTGTTCAGACAAGCCTTAAGTAAATTGCACTTGAAAGGTATACCCAAGCCATACTCGAAAATCCATTGTTGTGTATAAATACTTAGGAATAGGTGCACAGACATAGATACAACTTATATTCTAATAAGCCTAATTTCAAATGCATTTGCCCCTGCAAGGCGACAAGTTAATATTAAAACTTGAATTTCAAAGTTCGATTTGATGCACCGAATCACAAATGCGCTCTCTGATGACTTTGCAGGTATACCTAATAACATTTTGAGTAATTCCCAATAGTTAAATAAATTAAAAGAAAATATAAAATATTCCGGAAACAAAATAAAATGCAATTTTTAGAGAGCTCCTAAAATAAAAATAGAAAAGTATTTCGATAAACTATCGATGGCAAGAAGATTTTTGTTTTAAACATGTATACGATACGAAAATACTCCAAAAAAAATGTAATAATTTTTAAAAATGATTTTTGTAATGATAAAAATAAATCTTCCGCAAAGTTACATGTTTTTGACAAATTAGTTTTCAAAATAGTTTGATTTTCATGTGCTCTTTCCGGCTGATAAAGTGTAATAACTTTTGGGTTTTGTCACTTTACATTTGTAATGTAAGAAGCTTAAGGCTTTAATTACAGTTTTAGCTGGAATGCATTTATTTGAAAGATGCATTTCAAATTGATTTAATACATTTGTACATGTAATTGCTGAATAAAACGCGTTAAGTTTGTATTCTTAATGTGATGGGCCACAAGGGATTATCCAATCACTTGAACCAGAGTAGGGCTATGATTCGCTTATGAAGCAGCTTATGACAAATGCAATTCAAGTTTGCCACTTCAACTGTCTGCGTTCAATAAAATATCGCTTCAAATGTTGCACCTAAGTGCCGTGTCCTCTGCAATCATATCGTTTAAGCACACATGTGCATGATTCTAACGTATTATGGCTTGTGTAATTTTAATTGCCTGTGGATTTTAAGCAGAGTATGTAGCTAGTTAATTGAAGTGTCTAATGCTGACAGTCGAAAGCATCTTTAAGTTATCCAATAAGAAAGCGAACTTGAGTTGAAACGGAATAAATGCAGAGTGCTCGAATGAGAACGACGTTGGTTTTAATAATAATAATAATGAATAAGTAACTTTACTCTGCATTAACTAACTTAATTTAAACATAATATGTAATATGTAATATTATATGTATTTCTTTGCTTAAAAAATTCGATCTCTTTCGATTCAGCTTACAAATAGTTGGGTTATGATAAGAAAACTATAGAAAAACTTTTACAAATTATGTACATACTTATAAAGATTATATAAAGATTAATTTATATGTTTAAAAGCAAGTTTCGATTCATGATCACATAGTTGAGACTTACGTGATATCCGGTCCATATTCAGACGTGTCAGCAGAAACAGTAAATTAATAACTTGAGACTGTATGGCGCAGCACACATGGCGTATGCGTAATCAATGCAATAACCAGCTGAGATGCGGCAGCCCTGCAGTTAGCTGCACTGCATAAATTTGTGCACAATGAGTAAAACAGAGCAAGAGCTAAATCCAAAGCCACATGCCCTAGAGTCCGAGTAGCAATCATTAATTATATATATGTGGCGTATTGGGTAAGCAGAAGTTGCGTGAAATATGTTTGCTTGGGGATTCCATGATTCTGATGGTTAATACAGAGGCGAGCAAACTCAACACAATCCAATACCTAATTATGTAGATTGCTATAATTTTGCTTATGCTTCACAAAATATTAATTATGTGGTTAAAGTAATTGCTGATTTGGTTTACTAATTGAGATAGTTACCAAGAATCAAATATTTTAAGTCAACTTTTGAAATGTTTATTAGGCACTAGCAAATTGTTTAAAATTTCGTTGTGAGATTTATGTGAAATAATATTTCCGGAAATATAAATTAAGAATCTAGCTTTGCTTTTGAATAAGCTCAGTGAACTGGTCTTATTTTGCGCATAAATTGATAGACAAAATACGCAGCTTAAAATAGGTTTTTTTTTGCTTAACCTTGTAATCTATGCAAGTGTTGACGCCAAGCGATTTTTACGGACTTTCGACTAGGCATTTTCTTAACGCTGTCTACAAGTTTATAAAGTTTTCCATTTGTGTACAAAACCCCTCTCCGCTTCCCCCCACAATCTCCGTAGCAGCGACGCTTTGCAACAACCTGCTCATTAAAAAACTGAATGTGTGACATTTTGTCAGGCAGCAGTAATAAAATTACAATTGAAGCTCGACGACAAGCAAAACGCAAATGTGCTGAATCAGCACAAGGAACAAGGAACACAAGGGGAAAAACTGAGGCAAATGTCAAATCAAATTTATTGACTTTCATTGTAATGTTGGGGGTAGTTAGACGAAGGGGCTTTGCGACAATGACACTAGAATTCTAACGAATAACCCGCAGTTTCGTGTTCATTCAAATGTGCAAAGCCAATGACAGGCGGAGTACCCCTCGTGTCTGTTGCCCCACACCATCTCAACCAGTACACATAATGTGCACCTTTTCAGTCCTTTTGCACTTTTAGTGTATTTGTGCGCGATTAAAGGGCTGCTTAGCCAGAAAGAGGGAAGGACAGCTGGTGAGAAAAACACACACGAAGGGAGAGAGAGAGAGAGAGAGTGAGAAAGAGAGCATAGACAATCAGCAGGCAGCATCTAAAGTTTTCCTCACTTTTCTTAGCGAGTTTTTTTTCTGATTTTCCACAACTTAGCACAATGCCTGATGGTAGTGCTATAAAAAATCATACGCTTCCATTCATTGCAGGGGAGCATTTCAGACATTTTGTCCTCCTTTGTGCAATGTTTGACAATTATTTGCATTGTTCACTGGGTCGTTTGTTCAACATGCACATGAAGCGGTAACTACAACTTGAGTGTCTATAGATTGAGCAGTTCAGTTCAGCTTAGTTGGTTAGTTAGGTGCTAGCACTTCTTTTGTGCCGATTCTCCCATCTCTCCACCCCATGAAATGCACACACATTTTTGGTGCATGTGTGCTTAAGATAAATATGTGTATATATGAGGCACAATTATATTTACAATTTGTTCTTAAATGCAAATCAAGCCAAACGAACACATTTTTTCTAGCTTTCTAGCTGTCAAGAAGCATTGATAATTTCGCCTACACTATTGCATGCCCTGTTTTTCCTCATCTCTCTCTATCTATCTCGTTTTCTATCTTCTACTCTATTTCTTCTGTGTGTTGGGTGACAGTTTTTTAAATGCCTGTTTCCGCTTCCGTTTCCTTTACGTTTGACTTGCCGGCACGTAAATCGTGTGCCATTTCAGTGGCTGGGATTCTATTTTTTTTTTCATGCGGCGGTAAATTTTACAACAATGCATATATAATCTTTTTCACTTATCTTTGCATAGTTTCCTTTTTGCCAAGCGTCAAAACTTTTTATGGTCTGAGGTTAAAAGTGGTTTCAACGGCTGAAAGCGCTTCTCTATCTCTAAAATGAATGAATGAAACGCGTAAAAGGTTTGTGGCGACTGCAAAAAGTGCTAAGATAACGGAATTTTTAGCTGAATCCCTTAGTTTTTGAAGAATGTCGACAATCTTTTGAGCGATTTATGAGTTAATTACGATGCGAGTTTCTTATTTAAGACTCTAGGTAGATTGATCAAAGATCAATTTCAAAGCACTGCTCTGCCCTAGAGATATTCATCATAAACATAAAATTGACAATTGTATTTATATATTTATTTCTATGTACATATTTTTTAAAAATTTGACGAAAGCATTGAAATTCTTAAGTAAACTGAAATGGTTGAAATATAAGTGTACCAAGCCACTTTTTTTGAATGGTAAGTTTTGAGTTACGAACTGCACTTCAAACGCTAACTGGCAAATGTATAATCAAATGTATATCTCAATTAATATAAGGAAAGTATAAGTTAACTTAACTTATATATGTATGCAGTCAAGCAATTTACAAAGGGTCATAGCTAACAGTCAATACATCTATTGAATTTGAAATATTATATATAAAACCTATTTGTTTTTTAGGTAACCCTTTCAATCATATTACCGACATTGATGTTTTACAACGCTATTTTCTATGGTTTTAAGCTATACATCGTATATTTGACAACAGTCTGATGTCTGAGGAGCAATCGAAACAATATGAAAGCATTAATTTTTACAGATCTGACTTAAAGCTTCCCCCTCAGGAGTTTGCCTGTAGGATTCCAGAGTTTCTATGTCAATTAGCAAAGATATTGGGTTGCAAGCAGCCAAATTTGGAGCATTATATGTTGAAAACACAATTAGACAAAGATACTCATATTAAGTTTTATGACTTTCGGGAACGATTTAAGCAACAGCAACAGGACCCAGGTCAGCTGGATGAAGAGGAGAAGATGCTGCAGGAGCTGCGCTACAGGCTATTTCTGCACTTTTACAGGCTGCTGACAAAGCTGCAACTTGAAGAATCAGTTCAACAGCAATATCTAATATTGTTACATGAGCTCTTCAATGCGGAGAAGCCGAAGGAAATGCAGCTGGAAGAAATGCTCAGATATCGGGAATCATTCATTGATTGCTTAATTGTTCTAACCAAATATATAATTCATTTAAACAGCTTGATTTTGGATAATGTAATACAGAACATAGTAAAAGTAGGATTTGCCTGTGCGGAACATACATTGGCGACATTTCGCTCGGTCCTGAGAGGTTTCCGATGGGAACGTGACACTTACCAGATAACCTTTGCTCAAAAATCAGAAGAAGTTAATCGAATTATAGATATGAAAACCGCGGAAGAACAGGACCTAGTTAGTGGAAAGTGCCAGGAAAAATATACTGCAAGCTGTGTTGATCTTATGCTTGATGAAACCTATAAAAATGAATCACCGACAAATTCATCTTTAAAAGAGCCATGGGAAGAAATTTTAGAAGGGTTTTTGAAGAAAACTCTTAATATGGAATCCCCTGAAGGTACTATAAAACATAGTTCATCATCAACTATTACCAAAATGGAAACAAGTGAATCATTAGAAATGTATATGCCCAAACGAGAGCTACCTGCGGAAACTTCTAATTTGCATATTCCGAGAGTTAGTCTAATGCCAATATCCAATTTGGGAGAAGCTGTTAATATCGATGTTACTAAAGATAAACAATTGTGTACTTCTATATTTAAAAGGGGTCTGAATGAAAAATCTACTGACATAACTTTTATTGGCGATGGTTTATTCCAAACTAGCTCATTTGAAGCAGAGCTTTCAGGCAAAACTTGTGCGGTGATTTCAGCAGGGAAGAACCTGATTACTGAAAGCGACACTCCTGAAATACATCAATGGATAAATCTGCAAAATGTTATATCTAAAAACGATAGGCTTGAATTCGAAAGTATACCACCTCTGGAACTGGAAACTGACAAAACTACACTTAAAGACGATCAGCTAATAGCACTGCCTGAACTGAAAGCTGATAAACGAACGCACAAAATGATATATAAAGAATTTGATATACATTTAAAGGAAATGGAGTTTGAAAGCAGTTCACAGGAATACGATCAGCCAAAACAGATATATTCAACAGCTCTTCACCGAGTCCACATGGAGCAATCCTGTGGGAGGCCTACCACTCCCAAGTGGCAACATCAGCGACATATTATCGCAGCGTCCCGTTTCATAATACGTCTATTTAAATGCAATCCCGCCTATCAATGCTCTCCGATGGACCCCAATGCGCCCAATTTCTATGAGCAACTATTACAGTTCTATGAGATAATGGGTAATAGTTGTTCGATCTCAACAATAAATGTAACTGACATTAAACAACGCATAGAAACGATTATAAGTCGAATTAAATGGAAATCATCGTACAAAGCGGATCTATGCCTGCCAGAGATAGCCAAGCTTCAGCTACTGCAGCTGTTTACAACCGCCGAGTTACGGGAATACGAAACACTTCGTTGCCATCTCCAAGAGCGTAGAAGCCGTATTAACTTATCAAAGGAGAGTCGACAGCGGGATGCTCTGCATGCCATGTTGGGCTATGAATGTCTTCAGCTGCGTTACTCAGCATTGCGCAACACTTTAATGCTACGTTGGCCCCACTATCAGTCCACTATTAGTGAATCCTATCTACTGTTGTGCCTCGGACAAGTTGGGTATTACTACAAGCGATTGCAGCTGCATGAGCAGCGTTTGCGGCAGTTTGGCGAGATCGGCAGGGAGTTATCAATTTGTCTGCTCTCCGAGCTGCATTTGTATTTTGAATTTTGTATGCGTCAAAGGGAAGAGCAGAACCAAAGCTTATTGCATTTATTTTGGCAAACACGTGGCATTCTACATCGATTTTGTTGGCTTCTACAGCTGTGTATTGGCTTAAGTTGCCGGCAACCGCTGCTGAACTGCCTGCAACTGCAACTGAACGTGGGCAATGAGCAATACAATAAGCTGTTGGAGAGCTGGCTACTAGCTGCCACTCAGCCGCTGCTGGCAAGGATTAGCAACTGGCTGGTGAGTGGCGAGCTGTCAGACGAAGAGTTCTTTATTGTGACGCACAAGGATTCGAATCCAACGCACTATTGGCAATCACATTTCAAGCTAGTGGAAGAGCAGCTGCCACCGTTTTTAAATAGCCAACTCGCGCAACAGTTGCTCAACGCTGGCAAGTGTCAAGATTACGCTAAACAGTTTCTGGGATTACGACTTAATGCCACACTTAAGGCCGCAGAGTTGCAGCAGCAACTGAGTCAGGCCTGTGTCCAATGCTATCAGCAGCTGGAACAGCAAGCGGTTGAACAGCTCATTGGCCAGCTGGAGCGTGAGACAGCCCAGGAACTGTTCATCCATCTAAACCAATGGGTGCCGACACCACTGGAGCTGCTCAGTAAACTGCATCAATATTTGCTGCTCACAGATGTTCAGTTTGTTGGCCAGTTAATTGAATTGTTGGAGCCGGCCCTGCAACAGCCCTATGATTACTATGATACACATCAGCTGAACAACATGTTGGAGCAAGTGTTTAACGGCTGCATTGAGCCACTCTATGTGGCTGAAAGCTTCTATCCCGGCCATCATTGTTGGCAACGCTTTCTACTGCGCTGGCAGCAGCCGCCACATTGGTTGCCCCTAATAGGCCACAGTTTGGCGCAATATGAATCATGTTTTGTGTGCATCTGGCAGCTGCACTATGCGGACTATGTGCTCAATGAGCGCATCGGGCGACAACAGTTGCATTTCCATGAACGTATCAATTTCGACGACTCGAGTGATGTTCGCAGTGTAAGAGATCGCTTGGCGACATTTATTCAGCAATTACAGGACTTTATGCATAAGTTGCGCAGCTATGTATTGCACGATGTCCTGGACAGCGCTTTTCAGAGCCTGTCCTTGGGCTGCATGACAGCGAAAACTTTAGATGATCTTCTACAAATACATGGCGCATATCTCAACAGCATTTACTGTGGCATTCTTCAGGGCAAACAGTGTTTAAAGTCACAACAATATCTGGGCGAGCTCTATGAGATCATTATGCAGCTGGATGCAGTGCAGCAGAAATTTATTGCATTGCCATTCAATCAAAGCATACAAAGTCTGGAGAGTCTCCAAAACCTTCGTTGGTATTGCCAGCACACCTGCGATTCCATTGACGATCTGGCTAAACAGTTTCAACTCGGCTTGTCCAACTTTTTGCTAACCTTGTATTACACCCGGGAGCCGCAGTTCGTGGCACTGGCCAGAAGATTGGATCACCATGGCTGTTACGAGCAGAAGTATACGCAATTGCAGCAGGTGCATACGTTTCGATTTCAGCGCAAAATAATAGCCGATCATTAACTGAATTCAACCCAAGTTGCAAAGGCTTTCACAAATTGTAAACTTGGCAACTATTCGATTTTTAAGCAACTTCTTCGATGTTGTATAAAATAAGAATATATAATTTATAATATATATATTATTAATATATTTTATATATTTTTAGGTTAATTACAATACAAAAAATTAAATAAAATATTTATGACTTGTCATACAAGAAAAATTACTGTCCCTTCAAATACGTGTTTCAAAGCAAATACTAAATTATTATGATTATTTATTTTATTTCTTAAAATCCAAGATGTAATTAAAAAAAAACAGTTGTTGATTACTACAGTGCATCCGCTCTCATTACATTCAAATTTACACATTCGCTCTCTTCTCATCTCATTACTTTTTTATTCCCCAATTCGCTCGCTTGAGCAACTACAATGATCCATGTTCTCCATTCAAGTAATTCAAGCTGAACCATTTCATGCAGAGTGCTGCGTGTCCGTTTTGAGATTGACAATGGATTTGTGCAAAAAAAAAATATATATATGTATGTTGTTGGGTTTTGTGGCAGTGGAGTGTGTGCAAGATTCGGTAACGGATGGAAAGTGGCAGCAAAAAACTCAACTCTTTGGCGTTTTTGTGCACAAATTGGATTTTAATTGAAAATTAAGAATCGACTTAGCAATGTTTGGGTTGCGCAGCTGCCTTTTGTTATGCTAATTTCTGGTGTGAATACAGTTGAATACAGAATGAATAGATTCTGGCAATCGTGTACATGTACAAGTCTGCAATGTCTGCATGTGTGAGCTTGTGTGAAATAAAGTAAATAATGGATAATTACTTTTCGGCTTAAGCGTTGGTAAAATGAATTTCAAGTTTTGCTTTTCCCCGCCTTTTACTTGAGTTTCGTGTCAAATTTAATTACTTCAACAAATTTAAATTAAATCAAATTGAATCCTTTTTTTTTTGCTCATAACTTTGTGTAATTGCATAACTTAATTCAAATGCTAATATATATACATACATATATACATCTAGCTGCAAAATCTGTGCAAAAGAAATGCACAATGGAAATGCTAGCTGGCAGCTTACTCAACTCAAAAACTCTTTGTTATCTTGACAGGCGCAGCTGCTGACGTCTTCTGTCTGAGCCACATATCAGGGTGGTCGAGGATGCTGGAAGCAGTGTAAAGCAGCCTGCTGCTTCCCGAAAAGAATGCCAAGAGGAAGATAATTGAGCCAGGCATTTAATATAAGGTTTAGTTGAGTGTCTGTCCGGGTTAGGAATGTGCTTTATATTTTGGCATGTGTGCTTTAGACGGCAAAAGCAAACAAAAGACAAGTGAGTGACTTTTCACTTGCCGCTGATTAGGAAAATTAATTTCATAGAATATTGTTTTTTTTTTTCAGCGTCTTTGTGTGTGCAAAGTCATAATTATGTAAGCTGATGAAAGTGCGTGGGCTTATTCTTGAAGCAAAGGCATTTATTTTTCAGGCAAGAGCAGAGTGTGGTAATTTTTTTTAAAAAATTTTTGTTGACCCAATTTTGTCAGTTTACTGGTTTTTGTAAATTGTTGCCATTTTTTGAGACAAAAATGTTTGTGCAAAATATGTTTTAATTAGTTTAGACATGCCACTAATAAACACCAGCATGTTTAAATAACTATTGTTCAACACAAAAATTATAGACTGGCAAATACGTGTTATCAATTTTTATGACGGAAATCTTTTCGAACCAAATTCCAATTTTAGACTCCACATAAATTTTCGTGAGTTGCAAAGAGATTTTATGAATAATTTAATCAATATTAATTAGTAGTCTGCATGGCTGTTGGACAGCAATTATTATTAACAGATTATATTCAAATAATAATTTTTAAATTTGTTTATAAGTAAGACAAATATCTATTTTATTTGGAAGAACAATTAAAAATATTGTTGGACTTTGTCAACCCTATGAAAAAGTATCAAAACAATTATCGATACTTCTTTTATGGAAACAATCTATCGGGTTTTATTATCATTCAATTAATAATTTAATTTCTACTGGGAAGTCTGGTCTTCAAACTTCTACAAATCTAGGATAGGTGTTCTTTTTGTTAAATCAATGTCATCTATCCACGCTACTCCTTTATGTAAACCACATAGAAAAGTTATTTATTAATGCCGAACGCTTCCTTCTGGACTTTATGCTCTTATCTACTGAGAGCCAGCAATACTCGCACTATGCTCTATACACATCAGCATCAGCCGTCAGTAATTGTGCAATTCGAAATGAAACTATAAAATTTATTAATATGACCATGACACATGAGTGCTTGATCTGTTCGAGCCATAAATTTCAGTGCAGTTTGCTGCTTGCTGGCCGTTTAACATTTTGCCATTGTTATTGACAATTTGTTGTCAGTATATTTTTATTTTGAGAGACAGAATTTATGTGTGGGATTGTTGTCGGTAGGATTGTTGCTCTGGGAGAGTGGTCTTTATGAAATACTTCTCATTATTGTTGTGGAGCACATCGGGACAAACATATTTGAACTATTTTCATTTCAATTGCAAACTGTTGGGCGTTCAGTGGACGGCTGGGCGTAGAAATCAATTGAATTGCCATTTCACATATGAAATGGTCATTTGTCAATGAGCAGACACACACATACACAACAATTGAAGTGGGGTAGGTGGGCTGTCTGCTTGTGTGGTTGGTTGGTTACTGTGGTCAGTCAAATGGCCGCATAAATATGTCGTTCGGTATAGCCCACCACTTGTCGCTAAATTGCTGGTCGTTATTAAATTTCCGCTGCGTTGAGTTCTCATTTCCGTTTCAATGGGCAGTGCAGCTGGCGACAAAATGTGCTGCGGATGTTGCCACAGTCATAGATATCGCATGTGGACCACCATCATCTCCACTAGCTCCAGATCAACGATTCAGTTGCAGCTCTCCAGCCATAAAACATTGTTGTCCAGCAAAAAAGGGTTCGCTTTTGCGTCAACATATGTACGCCTGCTTCCCTGGGGCGTATGCATAATATTCAATTGTTATAATATATTTGTGTACAATTGCAAAATTGCAAAATATATTTTGGTAGCATGTAAGCAATTGCACACCAAATAGTTTTTAAGTGAAACAATCAAAAATCAATGTTGTAATCCAATTGAATTTTTGGATTTTTATCAAAATGAAACTAATTGAAATGTGCAAAGCACTTGTTGGGGTGATGCGAACTGACTTTTTCACTGATTTCATAACTGCTGCAGCAACTGAAAGTTGCGTCATAAATTTCAATAAAAGGCATTTTTGGAATTTGGTATTGTTTCTTGTCGGCTATGCGTGTGCTCTGCATGTGTGTGTGTGTGTGTATGGCTATTATTTACGCTTTTATTGGCATTGCGTATACGCCGAGTGACCCCGTTTAGAAGACCGTCTTTCTTTTCTTGTCTCGCTCACTTTCTCTCTTTCTATCTCTATCTCTCTTTCAACTTAACATGATGCCTTTCTGTAATTTGTTTTGCCCTTCGCTATTATTTTGTTTAATTCGCATTGTTATTGCTATTGCTGCAAAGTGCAAATTGTATACCAAAAAAAGTTTGTGTGCCATAAATTTAATCTTTTTTTTTTTGTTTAGATGACCAAACAAAAAACAGCATAAATATATGAAGTGAAGAAAAGCTGCTGGTTAGTTATACGATTTTTTATGTTGTTGTTTTCTTATATAAAAACGAACCAATATTTGCAGTGTGTTAGACTTTCTTTAGCAGATTTGTAGTGAGTTTCCCGAACAATTTCTTCCGTATCAAAGGTCATTAATATCTTTGACTAACTTTTTGAAGTTAGTAAAAATTTGAAAATTATTTGCAAACTCATTTAATTATTTGCACATTTCCTTAACTACTGTAGCTCCCAAAAGACCATAAAATTGTATTTAATTTAATGAAAATATATTACGAGTCCCCTAACTGCCACTCTGCCCTTTTGGGCCACTCGTTTTATTGTTCGCTTGCCCTTTGTGGCTGGTCAACGAAAAAAAATAAGAAAAAGACGGAATATACAAATAACGAAATTATACAGAATTATGAGCCATCTTTCAAACTCCGGCGAGATGTTAACCCTTAGTGCGTGTTTAATATTTCGCTAAGTTTTTAATAATAAAAAAAAAAAAACGACGGCTCTGGCAGCTGACGGCTGTAAAATCTAAGAAAATGCATAAAAAGCTGTTACGTAAATACATATTAAAATTGTGTCAGTTCGGGTAGCAGCTCAGCTTAACCCATTTTATGAATATTATTATGATTATTATTATTATTTTCTTGGCTAAACAAAGTATTTTAATGGTTTCCATTGTTCGCTTCGCTGACTGCCTGCCTGCCTGCCTGGCTGCCTGACTGCCAGCCTGCCAGTTGGCTAGCCTTTTATTTATGTGCCGCTAATGGACAGTGTTGAAAAACTGCAAAAACTTGCCACGCGATATTATTTATTATTATTTGCCAGCCATTGTAATATTTATTCATTTGGTTGTATTGATTTATGAGCTTTCAGCATTTAAATCAAAATCAACGCAATGTCTTTTCGTATTTTATCAATTTGATGTGCCTATTTATTATTATTTATTTTCTTTTCACTCGCTCTTCTGTGCGCAAATTTATGTTTCCACTGACCACAAGAGATTCATTTTCATTTCTATTTTGCTCCTTCTCCACACTGCCCTGCTTTCCCTTTCCCTAACAAATGCCACTTGATTAGTTGATGACACTTTGTATGTGCACAAATACATACACACGCACACACCCACACATAAGCATAAATATATTGGTTGAATACCACAAGCCGAACTGTACGGCGTAGTCCTCGGAGGAGGAGGGGACTTAAATCATGAACTAGATTTACAAAGCAGAAAGTATTTAATTTAGTTTTTTATAATTTTATTTTCACCACATATTAGTTATGGTTTTTAAAAATTATTATTACATGTTAGTATAGGTAACTTTTCTATATATATATATATCTATATAATTTTTGCCATTCATTTTTGAATTTCTCCAAGTTAAGTTGATTGCTTCTATATAAGTTGCTCCTGCTTAAGTTATTCAGCTACGCCACTGT